GGCACAAATATCAGCCCATAGACAGCAACAAACATGTAGCACATAGGAAGGTAGGAAAAAGAGACGGCATTAAAGGATAGTTTTTAGGTCTGTCTTAGAGATGTGCTTCCAATAGGCTGTAAATGATGGAGGACAAAACCCAAATTTGTCGTTCTGTGGAAAAATACATTCCAAACTTTAGCTGAGGCTAATATTGAGTCTTCAGCAGTCTGAGTTAATCAAATCAAGTGGGTATCTTCCAACGTTACAGTGGTTTAGTATACTATCCCTCTACTGCAGCTCAGCACAGAAACACTGTCCAGGGAAAATATTACTATGTTACTTTGGGTGCTACCCACTCGATGTGTGTAACTCACATTGCTAAAGTCTCACATTTGTGATCAAGCTTTTATTTTTTAATACTGGAGGTTATATTGACCGTACACAGACTGTACATAACAGGCTAATAAATATGAGTAATTTTAAAATAAATATACAAGCATCAACTGCCTGACAAAGGCCTTATTTGTCCCTCCAGTCTTTAAAGTCCCCCCTTCCTTCCTCCCTCCCTTCCCACACCCTAAATGGCACATGTAAGTAAGTATATAAATAACACAAAACAAACATTATAATAAACAATATATTAAGTGGTAAGACATAAAAGAAACATCAGTCAGATATTGAGGAACAAAAGAAACAATGTAGACCATATCTTGATAATGGTATGGTATAAATCAAGCTGTTTTATTGTACATATTAGGTGCCTGACTATTATCCTTTTGTATCAAATGTAAACCTATCTGGTAAATGTAAGTCTTACATTTTTGTGGTTGACACATTTGAGCAGCACCAGCTCCCTGTAGGCACGCTTAGCATGGGTCTGGTTCTGGAAGGGCCGACACAGCTTTTTCACTGCCACCGGGATACCAAGGACTGTATCTAGAGCAGAGCTGGTCACAGATTGTATGGAGAAGGGAACAGACAGAGACACAGGTTGGCAAGGAAGAAATTAAATGCATCCTGCAGAGCAAAGCTGTTGTCTGACTTATCATCAACTTCATGAAAAAAATCTACCCCTCTTTTGTCATGTTTTAAAATGGGTAAAAAGGTAAAAGAGATTCCAAACACTAAAAATGAGCTGTAAAAAGCAAAAAGTGCAGGTAATCAAATCCCCAAAGAAGATGGCAATCTGGCTAGTAGTTATCAAGACATCTTGCTCTGGATTTATGTGCTACACAGACAGAATGACTAACCAACATTGCCATAGGAGGTCTTTTTTACAGCAGACATTTTGATTTCCTATAGTAGGAAAAGCATAGATGTCACTGATAGCATTAAACACATATAAGTATCCCAGTAAGCCATGACGGTGTGGCAGTGTGCAGGTATGTTTGCCAGCAGGATCCTGAAACTGGAGCAGCTAAATGTAATCCAGCCATCATTCAATTTAACATTCACACCTGTGATTTTCCTACAGTGATAAGTCAGAATGTCTATAGTGAAATTAGTCCACTAGGGGACCACCACAAGCAGGGCAAAAGTAAACTTAATTCGGAGGAACTCTGGGTATTAATAACATCCTGGGCTGGTGACAAAACTACCAACTTGCTAATAAAGTACAGTCTCTCACCAGACGATGCCCTGGGCCCCGGAGCCGATGGCGCGGAGCTGCTGGTAACGCTTGAGTACAGTGAAGGTGGAGTCTCCCACCTGAACGCTGTAGAACTGGCCCTCTGCCTCACTCATCCTGCTGAACAGTCAGGACCACCAGCACTGTCTGCAGGGAGGCAACAACACACAGAAAAAACAAAACAGATAAACGCCCAAACAGCATGACTGGCTTCATGCCTGGTTCTTACAAAATCTCCCATCTCCAAATGGCCGTGCAAAATGGTAAACAAGCTATAGCCTGTTAATAATCCTATATCAGTGTGATGAGGTTATTGTAAGCGAGAGAACTTGAAACCTTTTTTTCAGTCCACTGAATCACACAAATGATCCACAGTGAATGGCAGGGCCTAATATGGTTCCATCTGTCAGTCCCTGGCATCACTCCCTTCACTTTTAGCCCAGTCTAAAGCCAAGCAATCTATCACCGCTTTCTGCCCAGTTCGTTCATCTGACAAAGGTAACAGTGGGTTGGAGCTGAAGCCGAGGCTGTAAATGTTTTGTGTGTGTAGTGGAGAACAGAGGCAGCTGACAGCTTGGAGTTCCTGAGGCTCTCGCTGCCATCTCTAAACTCATGCTGACACTCATGCTCAGTAAACACATACATACATACATAACACACACACACACA